CAGGAGCAGACAGCCTTGTCTTTGCGCCTGCCCATGGGTTTGCCCTCTTGTCAGTGGCCCAACACTGAACCCACAGTCCGCCCCCCCGCCCCCGCTCCCGCCCACCACCCTGGGTTCCTCATTTTCTCCCAAAGATCACTTTTGCAGCTGTTTTGAGTTTGTGTGCTTTCCCCACCGGGGGGCTCACACAAAAATCGAAGAGGAATGTGACCATCCTCAATGTCCTTATCCTGCGTTTAGAAGCTGCCTTTTGACAGCTAACCAGGCAAATAAATGCACCTTCCCAGCAGAGGGTGGGGAGGAGGGAGAAGAGAGCGAGGGCAGCTGCAGCCCGGCCCCCCCGCACTGTCCCACAGACATAGACGAGTGTGCCAACGACACGGTGTGTGGGAGCCACGGCTTCTGCGACAACGCGGAGGGCTCCTTCCGCTGCCTCTGCGACCGGGGCTTCGAGACCTCGCCTTCTGGCTGGGAGTGTGTTGGTGAGAGGTTTGTGGGCTGCTGAGCCCTGGGGCCCTTCTCCCCGACTCTGCAGATCTTGGCCATCCAGGAAGGAGACAGTAGGGCCTGGCCTCCTAATGGCTCCCTCCAAGAGTAGGCCAGGATGGCGTCCAGGAAGGGGGCCGTCCACCTCTGTCCTACGGCCAGCACTTTGGCTGGCTGGTAGGGGAGGAATGGCCATGTTCGATCGGCAGGAGACTGGAGCCCACGGGTGGAGGTGGCGCCTCCTTCTCCAGGTTCCCAGGGACCCCAATCCAGGGGGCTTGTGCCCGGATGGGGGTGGGGGGTGAGTCTTCTGTTCTGTCCACTTCCATGACCCCTGACTCATCTTGGTCCCCCTCCCTTCCCAGAGCCTCTGCTCCTCTGGTTCTCCTTCCTGCTCCTCTGGAGTCACTAGTGCTTCTTGCAGACCCCGGCCTATGTATTTTGGGGGCGGGGGGTGAGATAAGGGCTGGGGACAGGGCTCTGGCTGCCCCTCACCTCGCCCTCGCAAGCCTGTCCTCGTGCCTTGGCAGACGTCAACGAGTGCGAGCTCATGCTGGCCGTGTGCGGGGCTGCGTTCTGTGAGAACGTGGAGGGCTCCTTCCTCTGCCTCTGTGCCAGCGACCTGGAGGAGTATGACGCTCAGGAGGGGCGCTGCCGTCCTCGGGTGGCCGGAGGTGAGGCTCGGGACCCTCACAGGACCCCGTCCCCACCCGCCTCCACATCCGTGATAGCTCTCCGGCCCGCACATCGCGTCCACTGCCATGATGGCCTGACCCTCAGCTTTCGCCCAGAACGGCAGGCCAGGCAGGACGTGCAGGACCTGGATGGGCGCAGAGCCCGTGTGGGAGGGACGCTGCCCAGGGAGGGAAGCCGGTGGTCCACAGAGTCCACAGGGGCAGCAAGTGTCGAGACCAGAGCCAGGGAAATGGCAAGGCTGCGGCGGGCCCGCAGAGGGCTCTGACCTTGGCTTCGGGTGGCCCTCGGGATTGCAGACCGAGCCGTGGAGACTGAGCCTGCCAGCCCCTGGGAGCTCTATGGGTGAGGGAGGTCTTGAAGGGGAGGCAAGCCGGGTCTGCTCCTCTGGCTCCATCTAGGCCTCTCACCTTGGCTGGACTAGGCCCTGCCCGGCCACACAAGCCCCTCCTTGGCAGTGATTGCTCAGCTCCCTTGTTGTAGCAGGAGAAAGGGGACCTAGAGCCAGGAAGGGCGCTAAGTGGGAGGGACTGAGTGTGAAGTAGACGAGTAGAGGAGAGGGCTGCTCCTAAGTGTGGGTGGGGGGCATTCTGCTTTGGAGCAGACAAGGACTTTGGCACCAGAGGAACTGGGTTCAGATCCCTGCAATGTCACCGAGTGCCTGTGTGCCTCAGGCTAGCCACTGGGCTCCTCTAAGTCTTCATTTTCTCTTCTATAGAAGGGAGATGAAGGTACCCCCAACACCCACCCCACTGGGTGAGACAATAGCCCAGAAAGCTCCCGTGTGCTGTGAAAGCTGAGAGCTGGGGTGGTTCACAGGACCCTGAACAGACAACAATCACACCCAGGTCAGAGTATCCCTGAGGCCCCAGTGGTGGACCATCCCCCGGGCCCTGTGCGCATGGAATGCTATGCTGCTGGGCAGAGGGGGCAGCTGCCCTGCTCCAGCCTGCTGGGCCGGAACACCACGCAGGCCGAGTGCTGCTGCACCCAGGGTACCAGCTGGGGAGACTCCTGTGAGCCCTGCCCGTCTGAGGACTCGGGTAAGGCCTCCCGGGGCCCCTAGCCCTCAGGGTCCGCTCTGTGGAGGGGAGGGCATGGGTGGTTGACTCTTCCCTCTCTGAGCTGGCTGCCTCCCTGCACAGTGGGATTCAGTGAGATCTGTCCCAGTGGTAAAGGCTACATCCCCGTGGAAGGAGCCTGGATGTTTGGACAGACCACATACACAGGTACCCTCCCCAAGGCCCGCCCTTCCCCACTCCCTTCACCTAAGCAGCCCGTTATGGCCGCCTCCTCTCGAAAGACCCACCTCTCAGGAGCAGCCGTCCTGCTCGGTCCAGGTTGGCCCCCTGCAGATAAGCTGGACATTCTGAGCCTGCTCCTCCTGGGCGTCCCTCACCAATGACATTCACCCCGGTCTCCAGGAGCCAGAGATGCTTCCATAGCTCATGCCCCTGCCCCCACCCCGTGCCTCAGCTTCTCTCCTGAGCCCCAGGTGTGAAGCAAGGACCTTGGGGACTAAGTGCCCGAGTCCTGAGGTTGCAGGAGGAAGCCTAGCAACGGAAGCTGCTTTCTCTGTGGGCTTGTAGCACTGTTGCCAACACCTCACGTCGCTTAAGGGCGCCCTCAGGGCACAGCGGGTTGGCAGTTCGAACCCACCAGGCACTCCTTGGGAGAAAGATGTGGCGAGCTGTCCCTGCTAAGATTTCTTCTTGGAAACCCAGTGCTGCAGTTCTGCTCTGTCTGATAGGGTCGCCAGCAGTCAGAATTGGCTTGATGGCTGTGGGTGTCGGTACTGACATCCACACCACCAAATCCCCCTACAGACTGCAGGAACAAGCATTGTTGACCCATGAACAACCCGAAGGTTAGAGTGCTAACCTGTGTGGCCCAAGCGCCGTGTAGCACGTACAAGTGTGCCTTGGACAGCACTTGACCTTCCGGGGCCACTTATGCATCACTTTTCTCTTTCCTGTTGCTCTCGCAGTGAGCTCCAGGGGTGTGGGCGTCCACTTAAAATGCCGAGTGACTCGGTACATCTTGCATAAGCTGTGGCCTCTCAGGAGGACGGGCGCAAGAGGGCTGGGAGTCTCTGGACGGGCAAACTGCTCACACTCAGGCA